ACAACAATGTATCTCTCAACACTTGAAAAATTCAAGCGTTTTTTTTTATTAGTTTGCCATGTGTACCGAGCAGTCAACGGAGACTCTGCTCAGACATTCTGCCAACTGTAAAAAAAAATAATAATAATAAATAAATTGAATTGTATAACTGGAAATGAATGGTGTGTAGGGAATATCCCCAAAATAATATGGACTAGTAACTCTCCTTCTAAATTCGAAAAGCGAAGGAAATTTCAAATCTGTAGGGAGGTATAGAAGAGTCTAGACATACTGGTTGTCTACAATCATCCAGTCGCTTTTATTTCACTTTCTTTGGCTTCCAAGAATGAGCTGACCTAGGGTGACTCTTGGGAGAACTTGGCTGGCCTCCCATTCCAGACTAAACAACTTTCTTGATTTCTCTAGCCAGACTAAACCTTCTTTCAGATATTTGGGATGTATGTGTCTGTTTGTGTGTGACAACGCGGAGGGAGAAAGAGATTTTATGGAGAACCAGAAGATGTCTGTGAACGCATCAGGAAGACATTCGGTGGAGAAAAATTGGCCTGCTAAGTGCTAACACAGCTTAATTGCTTGCCTCAGTTTCTTTGGAGCTGTTCCCTATTTATTTATGAAACGGGACTACCCAGTAGTTTGGCTCTTGAAGAAAATTTCCTCAAAGGATTGCTGTTCTCTTACGTGCCGCACTGGGTAGAGAGTTTTGCTTCCCATCATGTTCCTTTTTTTGGGTCTTCCTTGCCAGGTTGAATGGGGACAAGGTTCTGACTGATTTTTGGCTAGGAAGAGGGATGCTCTTCTCGATGATCTTCCTAATCGCTTGGTTGTTGAAGGAACAGTCCTTCTGCATCTCTCTTGGAGGGCTTAGCATCATTCCGAATAGAATACAGAATAGAGAATAGAGTAGAATAACAGGGTTTGAAGAGACCTTGGAGGTCTTCTAGTCCAACTCCCTGCTTAGGCAAGGAAACCCTACCTCAGTTCAGACAAATGGTTATCCAACCTCTTCTTAAAAATGTCCGGTGTTGGAGCATTCATAACTTCTGGAGGCAAGTTGTTCTACTGGTTAATTGTTCTCACTGTCAGGAAATTTCTCCTTAGTTCTAAGTTGCTTCTCTCCTTGATTAGTTTCCACCCATTGCTTCTTCTCCTGCCCTCAGGTGCTTTGGAGAATAGCTTGACTCCTTCTTCTTTGGGGCAGCCCCTGAGATATTGGAAGACTGCTATCATGTCACCCCTAGTCCTTCTTTTCATTAAACTAGACATACCCAGTTCCAGCAACTGTTCTTTATAGGTTTTAGCCTCCAGTCCCCTAATCATCTTCATTGCTCTTCTCTGCACTCTTTCGAGAGCAGGGGTCACCAACCTTTTGGACCTCAGGGATCACTAAAATCATAATTTTAAATCCCACAGACCACTAATATGAATTAGTGATAGGATGGGGTCCTTCAGGCACTTAGTTTGGCCGCCTATTAACAGAGAGAAGTGCCCGGAATCAACCCTAGCTTTGCTGTCCATTGCAGCTAGGAATCTCAAATACGGCCAAGAATGAATGTTTGTCTTGTAGCCAGCCCAGGAGCTAGATCGCCCTCTCTGCAAACTCAGTCTCTCAAGGAGCCCAGCTGAAGTTTTGTGCGCCACTCACTGAAGCACCTGGACTCACCTAGACTAGCTGGAGCTAGTAAACAGGGAGCCAAACTATGTGCCTGAAGGACCCCATCCCTTCAGCGAGTGGGATTAATTGCTTTGGCGGGCCATAGTTTGAGGATCCCTGATTTAATGCAATATTTTAAAAATGCAAAAATGCAAAGATTTTTCCGGCGGACCACCAAAATTTTCTTACGGACCATCGGTGCTCTACGGACCACCAGCTGGTAACCATTGTTCTAGAGTCTCTACATCTTTTTTACATCGTGGCAACCAAAACTGGATGCAGTATTCCAAGTGTGGCCTTACCAAGGCCTTATAAAGTGGTATTAACACTTCACGTGTTCCTGATTGTATCCCTCTGTACTCTATACTCTACATAGAATAACCGAGTTGGAAGGATGTATTCATCATCATCATCCTGATGAAATCCCACTTGTAAAGGAAGGAAGGAAGGAAGGAAGGAAGGAAGGAAGGAAGGAAGGAAGGAAGGAAGGAAAGAAGGGAGGGAGGGAGGGAGGGAGGGAGGGAGGAAGGAAGGAAGGAAGGAAGGAAGGAAGGAAGGAAGGAAGGAAGGAAGGAAGGAAAGCTTCCTTGAGGTAACAGTAAGGCAATTCAGTAGACGTAAGGTTAGGAAGCAAGGAAAAACAAGAACACGGCACACAATGTCAGTTTACAGCTAAAAAAAATCCTAAAATTCAAGCATGCAGAGACCCACAACAGAACTTCAGAAGACAACTTGTATTTATTTATTTTATTTATTTATTTAATTATATTTATATACCGCCCTTCTCCCGAGGGACTCAGGGAGGTGAACAGCCAAGATCAAATACATAAATATAAAAGTTAAAAACTATTTAAAACCAGATTAAATACTTTGGCCCACAATTAAAAACATCCCATTAAAATCCAATTTAAAATTTAAAACCGTTAAAATTAGGCTAGCCCGGCTTGCTGGAATAACAAAGTCTTCAGGGCACGGCGGAAGGTGCGCAAGTCCGGGATCCTCCGTACCTCCGGGGGCAGTTTGTTCCAGAGGGCAGGAGCCCCCACTGAGAAGGCTCTCCCCCCGGGGGGTCACCAATCGACATTGTCTGACCGACGGCACCCCGAGGAGCCCCACCCTGTGGGAGCGTACTGGCCAGTGGGAGGCTGTCAGTAGCAGAAGGCGGTCCCGTAGGTACCCAGGTCCTAAGCCATGGAGCCCTTTAAAGATGTTAATCAACACCTTAAAGATGTTAATCAACACCTTGAATCGCACCCGGAAAACCATGGGGAGCCAATGCAGCTCGCGCAGGAGAGGTGTTACATGGGAGCGCCCCGCCGCTCCCATGTAACTTCTACCCTGCTCTGCTACAAAACTTCAGATTTTGATCCACTTAACTTTCAAAGCCTTCCCACATTCAGCTGCTGAACGTCAGAGGCGGCTCTATGAATTCACTTCAAAAAAGGACGCTTCCGAGATTCCCAAGCCTATCTATCTGCAACCCTTTAAAGTAGCTACGTCTTTTCCCGGGTCTTTACCCAGCAACTTTAAAGGGTATCCTAATAGACCTGTGCAAATCCTTCAAAAAGAATGTGTCAGACTCCATGGGACCACATATTCTTTTGTATCATTAAAGCAGCTGCATCTTTTTACTGCTTTGGAAGCTGTCGGCTGTCTTTGCATGCAGATACAGGCACAGCTGATTTGTATCGTGGCTGTGCACGCTGACAGCTGCGAAAATCTATATATATAAAAGCGAAAACCACTCACGCATCATCACGAAATCTCCAGAACCGTTAAGTCTACAAACTTGAAATTTGGCACGTATGATCCTCTTGGCTTCTAGGTGCTCGCTAAGAAAGGATTTTTCGAAATGACCATCAGATCATTATTATTTCATATACAGTATTATATTCACACTCTCTGATGCTAAGAAGTTCAGTGTTCTACTCCGTCTCCCCACCTGAAAGGAACTCTGTCCCAACTGCCAGTTGCCTTATATTAACACGCTCTGATGCTACTCCTTCGCTAAACCGGGAGTGGGCGTGGCCAGCATGTGACTCATCCGGCCTGCGGGCTGGGACATTCTACTCCCCCTCCCCCTCTGTTCCAACTGCCAGTTGCCTTATATTAACACGCTCTGATGCTACGGAGTTACACATTCTACATTATGTTTCAGGCTTTAAGTGTCAATTTATCACACCCGATCACATAGTTTCATAGCGAAGCACAGGTGTCCAGCTAGTTGAGTATATTTGCACCTCTATGTATTCTGGAACCTCTTTCATAGAATCCTGTTGAAGTTCTCCACAGCCCTCTCAATTGGTCATCAAGGCTATGGCAGGACAAGGGTTTACTCTTGAGTAAACTTTTGATTTACAGGACAGTGTCACGGGCACTCCTCTATCTGCCAATCCTATGACACAAAGGCCTTGATGTCTCTATTCCTGGTGGATCATTATGACCTTCTCCTCTGGGCTCTTGACTTTCAGGGACCCTGTTCCTCTATTGATCCATGTAAAATTGGGTCTCTAATATTGATCCAAAGCAGAGGTGGATTTCACATAATTTTACCACTGGTTCACCGTGCACCAAAAATGTGAGCGCACAGACCTTCCGCACATGCTCATGGCCTTTCACGCACGCGCTTTGCTCACTCCCATGGCTTGCACACATGTGCACAGCTTAGAAAACATGGCTAAATAGGATGGCATAGCGCCGGGGCAGGTGGGCAGGCCCAACCGCAGGTGGCCACTACCAGTTCGCCTGAATCGATCTGAACTGGCTGAATACCACCATTGATCCAAAGCATCCATTCCCAGTCAGAGAGAGGGGAGAGGGAGGGAAGGGAGAGAGAGAGAGAGAGACTCTCTAGAAGCACTGAGCAACTGAATTGAATCAGGCATCTTTTTCCAACAAAGAAAAGTGACGCTGGTAGTCCTCAACTTACGACCACAATTGAGCCCGAAATTTCCATTGCTAAATGAGACAGCCGTTCAATAAATTTTGCCCTCCGTTACAGTTTGTTAAGCGAATTGCTACAGTGGTTCAGTTAGTAACATGATTGCTAAGCGAATCTGGCTTCTCCATTGATTTGTCGGAAGGTCGCCAAAGGTAAATCACATGACTCCAGGATACGGCAACAATCATAAATATGAGTCAGTCGCCAAGCGTCCGAATTTTAGTCACGTGACCACGAGGAAGCTGCAACGGCCCTAAGCGCGAAAGTCACATTTTAAAGGGCTGTTGTTGTAAGTCCGAATGATCGCTAAACGAGTGGTCGTAAGTCGAGGACTACCTGTAGGGAATAAACCTTGAAGAAAGGAGCAAAAGAAACGGTAAATGAAGGATCCGTAGACAGAAGCTATACCTTTACTTTGGAAATCAGGGAGAATATCGGATGAATTCTGTGCAATTGCTGACCTCCTATAAACCATGTGAAGCCGTCCTCTCTCTTCCTCCATTTGTTGGCCTTTCTCCAGGGGCTCAATGAAAAATTCCTCTTCACCAACTTTGATCATGCCAGCCTAGGTTAGAGAGGGGGGAAAATAAAAGGAACAGGGCTTAAACAGGTAAAGAATCCAGCCTACTGAATTATAAAAATAAACCACTGCTATCAGGAAAGAGCAAACCAACAAAAGTAATATACCTTGTTTCCCTGAAAATAAGACCTATCCTGAAAATAAGCCCTACCATGATTTCTACGTGTGTGCCTAATATAAGCCCTACCCCCAAAATAAGCTCTACTTAAGAGCCTGCGCAGCCGGCCGACTATCCATTCCGTCTAGTTACTCGCGGTACCACAGCCACGAAGTCAGGCGAGGTGGTAGTGGAGCTGCCCCAACGCCCCACACCGGTTTAGCTCAGGGCTCCTGCAGCCACACCATCCCTGCCCCAACATCTACCTCATGGCGGCAGCACCGGCAGCCATGTGCCGCAGGAGCCCACGTGGCCGTCGGTTCACTTCTAGTACTTGTTCGATGGCCATGGATATTTGGGGGATCATCTGAAGCCAGCAACAGCTTCCCATCGCCCGGTGCGTTCCCACAGAGAGGGCCTCCTCAGGGTGCCGTCGGCCAGACAGTGTCGGCTGGCGACCCCCAGGGGGAGAGCTTTCTCTGTGGGCGCACCTACCCTTTGGAATCAACTGCCCCTGGAGCTCCGGGTGGCCCCCGAGCTCCGCTCTTTCCGCCGCGACCTGAAAACGTGGCTGTTTCGTTGGGCCGGCCTGGACTGATGGGGTTTTAATTCTAATTTAATTTAAACTTGTTAGTCTTCATTGTACTTTTAACTGTTAAATTATGAGTTTTGGATTAATTTTTAACTTTTTATTAGAGATGTTTCTTAACGGTTGTGAGCCGCCATGAGTCCGGCTGGAGATAGGGTGGCATATAAATCTAATTAATTAATTAATTCATAAATAAATAAAATAAATAAATAAATAAATAAATAAATAAATAAATAAATAAATAAATGGAACAGGAGGCCATGAGGTGTGGTGAGGCAAGGCAAGTGTCGGGACATGGATTCGCCTGGCTGAGGGGGCCCTGAGGTAAGCTAGTGAGGGGCTCTCGGGGAGCTCCACCCGTCTCACCTTGTGATAGCGGCACTGGTGCGTTGCTTGGCCTTCTGCTCCGTTGCAGCCGCGAGCAAGTAGAAGTGGGCTGGTGGCCACATGGGCTCCTGCTGGACAGAGATGCTGATGCTGTGCCTGTGTCGGGGCATGGGTGGCCTGGCTGCAGGGGCCCTGAGGTAAGATGGGGCAGGGCATATGGGGCAGCTCCATCCCTCCCTGCCTTGAGGTGGCGCTGGCATGTCATGCGGCCTCCTGCCCCACTGTGAGGAAGCAGAAGAAGTGGCCCTTCCGTACACTGAGGTGGGAGAAACACCCCCCAAAAATAAGCCCTAGTGCTTATTTTGGGACCCAAAAGAAAATAAGACCAGGTCTTATTTTCGGGAAAACACAGGTATTAAAAACCGCAAAGTAACACTTTTAATAAAATGTCTCACTTAGCAGCAGAAATTTTTGGACTTAATTATGGTCGTAAGTCGACGACTACCTGTAAAGCTATTTTCCAAAGTGTACGTAAGCCAGCAATAGTAGGAGAAAAGCATTGTGCAATATTGAGGAGGCTTTGGTTTTCTTGGCAGCTGTTTGATTAATCACAGAAGGAAGATAGAAAAGAATGTCAAAAGACGGCAAAGAGAATTGGAATAAGCTTTCATTAAAAGCTTCCCTGGCAAATCTGAAAAGCAGATCAATTCTGCAAAAAAAAAGTGTTTTGGCACAAAATACTGCCCGAGAATTGCATTTTCTTCCCCCCGCCCCCCCCAAAAAACCACAACCCCACAGTGCAATCTTTTGACAGGGCCAAAGGGGGCCAGTTGGAACCGAATTAAAGCTATTCCCGGTGCTTTCATCAATATAAGATATAAACACCCAAACATACAAGAGAGAGACACACAACTTCCATATAGCACTGCTAGCAAAGATCCCCACATTACGTGACACCACATTGTGGTCACCGCATTACAAAAACAAAGATGTTGAGACTTTGGAAGAAGTGCAAAAAAGAACAACTAAGACAGTTAAAGGCCTGGAGACTAAAACATACAGAGAACGGTTGCAGGATTTGGGTTTAGCTAATCTAGAGAAAAGGAGGACTCGGTTTTTAAGATCCAAACCCATTTCAGTGGCTACAGTGTTTAGCTACAACCCAGATTTTAAGTGTGGTTTATCCTTGGTTTATTACTTTCTCTCCACCTGCCCTCATTGGGTTGCTTTGAGGATGCCGCCCTTGGGTTTGTTACCCTGTTTCCCCCCAAATAAGACATCCCCTGATAATAAGCCCAATCGGGCTTTTGAGCGCATGGCAATAAGGCCAAGCGCTAATTTCAGAGTTCAGAAAAGTATAAGAAAGGGTCTTATTTTCGGGGAAACACGGGTAGCTATTCTGAGAATGTGTCTGCTGAAATCTAAAATTGGCTAGGGATGTTTTAGGCAAGCTAAAGAAACTTTAGAGATAAAATAAAAATGACGAATGGACGGGGTTTGCCTCTACAAGTCAGGAAATGTGGAATTTGGCAACAAGGATGAGGTAAATGTCATACACAGCTCTGACATCTTTATTTATCCGCAGTATGTGGATTTATTAGAGGCTGCAAAGATTGTTCGGCTGAAGACACCTCCTCTAATTTTAGGAGATGCCCTTCTCATTACAACTCCAAATGAAATAATGGCTTTACATCCATTTTCAACCACAGAGGGGGGTTAAAGCAGTGTCCGGTTGATTGATCGCTCACATCTCCACTGCTTCGTCCTCCCCTGCATTTTAGACATTCAAAAGATATTTCACTGAAATAAAAACATTTGTTCTTATAGTAAGCTAGGCTTTAGCCAGTGGTGGGATTCAACCGATGTAATGTAGGTCATTCCAGAGGGCGGGTGATGCCACAGAGAAGGCTCTCCCCCTGGGGGTCGCCAGCTGGCACTGTCTGGCCAACAGCACCCTGAGGAGGCCCTCTCTGTGCAAGCGAACTGGTCGGTGGGAGGCTATTGGCGGCAGAAGGCGGTCTCGCAGATACCCCGGCCCTAAGCCATGGAGCACTTTAAAGGTGGTCACCAACACCTTGAAGCGCACCCGGAAGACCACAGGAAGCCAGTGCAGCTCACGCAGGAGAGGTGTCACATGGGAGCGCCCCATCGCTCCCATATACACCCGTGCGGCCGCATTCTGGACTAACTGTAGCCTCCGGGTGCACCCCAAGGGGAGCCCCATGTAGAGAGCATTGCAGTAGTCCAGGCGGGAAGTGACGAGTGCTTGAGTGACCGTGCATAGGGAGTCCCGATCCAGAAAGGGGCGCAACTGGCGTATCAGGCGAACCTGATAAAAAGCCCCACTGGCCACAGCCGTCATGTGCTCTTCTAAAGACAGCCGTGCATCCAGGAGGATGCCTAAGTTGCGAGCCCTCTCTGTGGGGGCCAGTGATTCGCCCCCAATAGCCAGCGATGGCACCAGCTGGCTATATCGGGACCCTGGAATCCACAGCCACTCGGTCTTGGAAGGGTTGAGTCGGAGCCTGTTTCTCCCCATCCAGGCCCGCACGGCCTCCAGGCACTGGGACATCACTTCAAGGGCATCATTGGGGTGGCCTGGGGTGGAGATGTACAGCTGAGTATCATCAGGGTACTGATGGAACTCCAGCCCAAAGCCACGGATAATCTCACCCAGTTCGCTCTCAGCTGATCATCGGAGCTATTGGTTCGCCCGAACCAGTCTGAACCGGCTGCATCCCATCCGGTGGTGGGATTCAAGTAATTTAACAACCGGTTCTCTGCCCTAATGATTTCTTCCAGCAACCAGTTCGCCAAACTGCTCAGAAAGTTAACAGCCGGTTCTCCCGAAGTGGTGCGAACTGGCTGAATCCCACCACTGATCCCATTCCTGGCTTTTGCATTGTGGGGACGCTGCGAAGTTCGTAAGTGTGAAAAATTGTCACTTTTTTCCAGTGTTGTCGTAACTTTGAATGGTCACTAAATGAACTGTTGTAAGTCGAGGGCTACTTGTACCCACCCCGCAACATTTGATAGGGGTGAACAGTTTTAACTGCAGTTATGGATTCCACACGTTTTGTGTTATGCGGGACTGTGAATTTGCAAAAGCGAGGCTTTCCATAAAGTATAAATTGGAAACACAACCACACATATCTAAAACTGGGATTCCATCAGGCGGGGCGGCAAGCAAGCGATTTCTACTGAAGAGTATTTTTTGACTAGCGAGTATTTGCTAAGCATTATTTTAATGATATCCGAGTAATAAATAAAGGAACAATTTCAATTTTTTTGTTTTTGAGGCTGTTAAAAACAGAGGGGATACAACTAGAATCCTTATTTGCTGCACACCGGACCTCTTATTGTCCAATGGGATATAAATTGTGGGAAGCTCTCCCCCCTCCCCCAGAAGAATGAAATATTTTGGGGAATATTAAAAAAAAAGGCAGGATAGAATATTTCCTCTAAAGGAGAAATGGAAAAAAAGTCTTAAGAGAGGCAGAAACCAGCCCCAGTCTCCCTGCCCCCAAGCAGAAACTGAGGAAGCCAGCTTTTAGAAATGCAGATTTCGTAATTCAGAAAGACTGGGTCAGACAGAAACTCCAGATATGCAATTAGGCAAGCCAAAAGTTGACAAGATTAGCTCAGATAAACACCTAGGATTTGCTCTTTTTTTTCAGGGAGGTCTTATTATTTTGGGGCGCGTGGAGCAAGATGGGACTCCTCTTGCCATCTTACCTGATTTCCAGCTCTGCGTTTAAATATTTTCGGGGAGGGTTTATTTTTGGGGGGAGGCATGCGCTCAAAAGCCCGATTGGGCTTATTATCAGGGGATGTCTTATTTTTGGGGAAACAGGATATGTCAGATGTAAATGCCTTATTCCCTAATGTGTAAATAATGTATATATGGGATATCAGGGGTTAACTTATTCTTTGACTCTTAATGTATTCATAATTCACCACTCCCACTCTTGG